ATTTTTAAAAAATAATCTTCAGAAGTATTTTTTTTAAGAAATTTGCATTTATAATAATTTCTTTTAAGAAACTTGCTTTAGGAATATTTTCTTTAAGAAATTCACTTCTATAGCAATTTTTTTTAAAAAAATTTGCTTCTAGAATAAATTACTTAAAAGATAATATAGTATTATAGAAGTGAATTCTTTAAAGAAGAACGTTTAAGAAGTATATTTTCTAAATAATACTTTAGAAATAAGTTTCTTAAAATAAATTACTATTGATGCATATTTCTTAAATAGAAATATTCCAGGAGTGTATTTCTTAAAGAAAAATTCTCCTAAAGTGAGTTTCTTATAAGAAATTACTACAAATATGTATTTTTTAAAGAAAATAAAGAAAATGTTTCAGTAGAAATTTCTTTTATAAAAATCATTCTGAAAGTATTTTTCTCTTTAAGAAAATTGTTTTGAGATATTTTTTCTTCAAAAGAATTATTTAAGAGACATTTTTCTTAAAGAAAATAAGTTTTTAGAATTTTTCAATCACTTCCAAATTTTTTTTTGATTTTTATTAATAATGTAAATCATACGAGTTGCTTTGACTTATCACATTTTAAAATCAAGCTAAGCTAGCTTATAAATTGAAATAAATCAGCTCAACTTAAACTAATAGTTGAACTGACTCATGTAAAGCTTTAACTTTTACAACTTCTATTATTTTAACTATAAAAGGTTTATTTTTAATAATATATTACATTTCTGTTTTTAATAATCATAGAATTATCTTATTTAATAAAAGAAAACTAGAATTTTATACAGATAGTTCTAATAGATTTATTTAATATCCTTTACATACTTATATTAATTCCACTTTTATTAGTTTATTAATACTTTATATATTAGTTTTGCCGATATTTTAACTTCTTTTTTGACTAATTTTATTAATACTAAAATTTTTGCTTTTTTAATGATATTTTTTGTTTGTCATTTTGGATCTTTAATCAAAATTAAAACTGATAGTTTATCTATAATTTTATCATAAAATAGATTAAGTAACTTAATGCTTATCAATATTTATTATTATTATTTAAAATCCTATTTTATATTTAATAGTGCTTCATTTTAAACTTCTTGAATAAAAGTAAATTAGTTTAACTTTAGTTAAAATTAAAGCTTATTCTGAAAACTCTTATAATGAAAAAGTAAACAACTTGACAAAATCTTCTTTTTATGATACTCCTATTTTTTTATCATTCAAATATGTTTTTATCTCTTTTATATTCATACTTTTCAATCTAATCCAATCAATAAAGAAATTTGCTTCTTTTTTAAAAACTATATTAATACCAAATCCTTAAATAACTTTTATAATTTACAAAAAAATAATGTTTATAAAGATAATCTATTAATTGGTTTTATATCTTTAAATTCATCAATTATGACTCAAACAATCATACCTTTTTCAAAAAATTTTACTAATACAAACATAAATTATCAACTTCAATTAAAACAATTATTAATTCTTAATTTCTTAAACTTATCAGACCTGATCTTTATAATTCTGATTGAAAATGCTGTCAATATAACAAATATTCATGATAAAACTTTTATATATATTTAAACTTATTCTAATATATAAAATACCATCAAAACTATTATAAATAAAAGTTTTCAAATCTTAAAAATTAACTCTATATTCATACTTTAAATGAACAATGGTCTGATGAATATTTTGATTCATCACATTCTATTAGAGTTTACTTTCTTTATCATCTACCTTTTTTACTTTCACTGATTTTATTAATGTATTATTCTATCTCCTTTATTGATTAATTAATAATTTCATTAATATTTAACAAAAACTCTTATTACTTTATTTATTTTTTATAATTGTATCTTTGAACAATCTCTTGTCTTAATTTGAAAATTCATATATAACTTAACTATTTCTAAAGAATTCATAAATAATATCACCAAAAAGAAAATACTTTAAAAATCTTTTTTTTCTAAAAATAATATCTTTATTTCAATTTCTACTTTCATTGATAATAACATAGATTACTTAATCTTTTTTTTAACTTTTATATTTACAGCAAATTTTGTACTTATTTTAATATAATGAAAATTAGTTATTTCAAATATATATTCTTTTTTATCATATATTGTCTTTTCTTTTCTTAGTAATAGTTTATGAATATGATAAGATTAGGATTATTAGAGAAATTAGTGAGGGTTTTTTTTGCTGAAATTATATTAAACTCTTATAATTACTTAGGTTAAAACTATAATAAAATACTGAAATACCAAAACTATCATAATAAATGATAAAAATGAAGAAACTATAATGAAACCATATTAAATTCTTATTAAAATTTATTAAAACTAATCATAGAATTTTAAAGAGATTTAAACAAATATTCTTAAATAAGATAATCTGTTAATTTAGTTAGAATTAATATTTTCTTTAAAAAAGGTTAAGTAGCATTTACTTTATTTTTTATATTTTTATAGAATTTTTTTTATATTTTGTATTTCAAATTTAAAAATTTAATAATAATGCTTTATTACATCTTTTTTTAAAAAAAAAAAGATTTGTATTTCTATAACTTGTAATTTCCAAAACTTTTTACAATCATTTAAGATTATTTAACATTTCTAATATTATTAAATTTATTAATATATATTAAAAAACAAATTTTATTTTAAAATTATGATCAATTAAAAATTAAAACATAATTTTAAATTTATTATTATTATTCCTTAAATTGTCTATAGGCAAATTTTTTTGCAAAATTAAAAAAAAATATTAATTTTTTATAAAATATTAAATATTAATTTTAGTTATATTATTATTATATAAAAAATATAGTTTAATATATTTTTATCAATATTATTAATAAAGTTTTAAGTTTTAAAAGGTTTTAAAATAATTTAATTTTAAAATTAAGTTTTAAAAAATTTATTATAATATTTTTTAAAAATTTATATGTTTGCATACTAATTAAATCTCTTTATTATTAATTAAAATCATAAAATTTCTTAATAAATTATAAAAATTATAATAATAAAAAGTTTTTCTTTATAAGTAATTTTATAATATTTATTCTATTATGATTAATATAGTTAAAAGTAAATTCTAAAAAGTTTATCATAAATTAATCATAAAATGTTTTTATATAATTTTTTTTAGAAATTACAAATTTTTAGCTTCTAAGAAACATTAAATTTTTTATTATATAATTAAAAGATAATATTTGTTATAAAATATTATATATATATTTATAAAATTAATTTAAAAAAAATTTTTTTTGAAAATATTAATTATTTATTAAAAGTAAATTAGAAGAAAATTTATAGTAAATAAGCAGCCAAATTTGTTTATGAAACCTTACAATCTAAGGGATAATTAAAAATGAAAACTGTAATTAAAATGTTAAAGTTAAAACTTTTAATGTCATAAAATATTGCAATTAGTTTTAGCTTATAATATATAATAACTTATAATGGAAATGTTGTTAAATCATATGATCTGTAATGTGATTTTACTAGCAACGCTTTTATATTGCAATATATATTATAATTAATTTAGTTTATATTATAAACAAGTTGTAAATTCTAAATTAATTACGGCTTTACCTTTTAGTTATAACATTTATTTACTTTTATTAAAAATTATAACCTTAAAATTTATGTTAATTACTAATAATTAAAATAAGTTAAATAAGAATTAAGAATTAATTTAATTATTGTTTTATTTATAATAAATATATAAATATATAAAATATAATAATAACATTAGCCATAGCTATATTAAAAAAGGTTGATAATTTGAAATTTTTTTTAGATGCTTTATTTATTTTTTTATTATATCATTTACAAGTAAATAGAATTATCATCTTTAGCATTATTATTTTGTATTAATTTAATTATAGTATTTAATACTTTTATCTATTGAAAATGATATATCTTTATTAATACAATTGAAGTTTTTTTTTTTTTTGAATTAAAGGAGTAATTTAAAATAAAAAGTTTTGATATTAAAATACCACTTCTTGATATTACAACTAAGTGGAACTTTACATAGAAATTAAACATTCGATACAGCCGTCGACCGAGTCGTGACTTATTGAAATTAATAACCATAATTTTATTAGACTTTATTTAAATTGCGATGTTCTGACATTATATAAATTTGGAACAGTGACTCAGTCAAGACTCAGTTATTTAACAGATGATTCTTATTGATTTATTAAATTTATTAGCATCTAGTTAGTTATCCAACAATTAAAATGGCTTTTTTAAGGTATTAAGCAAGAATTCAAGATAATGATCATGATTTATAAATTCAAATAATGAAATAAAACGAATTATTTTGAAAAAAACAGTACATGGAATATGTCCTGAAAAGATATACTTCAGCTGAATAGAACAAGCAATGAGAAAATTTTAAATCAGCAATTGGCAAAAAAGCTCGGATCTAATTATCAATAATGTTTATCGTGGTTGGAGCAAAGGTTGAATAATTAGTAGTTTAAAAAGATAAAATAATCATAGAATAAAGTTTCATTTTTTATTAGTTGGCTGTATCATTATAAAGACGGTTAGGCTTAGGGTTAGGGTAAGAGTTTTCGCATTTTCTCTGTCGAAGCGATCCCTTTTTTACACGTTGCGATCATATGATTTATAATAATTGTCGTCGGGTATTAACTCGGAACTTTAACTGAGAAATATTAAGTACACTTGCCAGTAATACCATTTAAGGTAATAATATTGTTTGACAATATTGAAAATCCAAATATCGGGATCGCTCAAAAAAAAAGCAAATTACCCAAAAAGGCGAGACAAATTGTCTTAACATGTCACATGACGAAAATCGGAATATATAATTTGTCAATTCAAGTATATATTTATGTCAAAAATCTTTTGGTTATCCTTTCATTTTCTATCATATTTAACAAGAGCAATATTTAATTATTGCTTACTGATTCATTTCCCTTCGTCATTAGTATCTTGTCTAAATGTCTCAACAACGGTTACAAAAGTATGAGCTTGTTCCTCCAAAAAATTTGGCTCCTTTTCACAGGTTTAGTACCGAACTGGGTATGTCGAAAGTACTTGATATGCTTTTAGTATACTAATAGTTGTCTTATTTAGCGTAAAGACTTATAACTATTAAGTTATTTGGGAACCTTAAGTTTCAATTTCTTACATTTATGATTTTTTTCAAATTTAGCAAAAATCTAATCATATCGTTATCAGCTATTAATCACTTAATCTTAATTGTAATTGTAACAGGATACCCCGATTTTTATCCTCCGAAACCTGGTCAAGATGAAGACCAGATGACAGAAGAAAATGTAAAGAGAGGATTTGTCGATGTTCCTTTCGTTAAGAATGAATTTTTTCCGGCTCACGACATTTTATCTGAGCAATTAAGAGATCCAAATATTTTAAAAAATCTTGGGGATTTCATGACTGACGTAATGAGACGTAAGAATGAAACAAATACTTTCCAAGGGTATTTATTTTTTTATAGTCTTTATTTGATCTTATTACATAACCTCATTTCTTGATCCTCTCTTTTTTTTCTATTCGTTTTATAGATCTTCGCAATTTATAGTTCCTACAATTGTGTGGGTACCTAGTGAGGAGCGGGATAAATGGTTGAATGATCTTGCTGGGAATGTACCATTGAAAATACTTGCAAAGAACGTTCCTAAAGGGTAAATATTTCATTTATCATGTTCTATGATTTTAGAATCAATTACTAATGTTTTTTAATAAATTAATTAGTATTGACGGTATAAATTTACTTGACCTTGTCACACAAAATCGTGTACCACTGGCTCGTGCAACATGGTTTACTAAAATTGTTGGCATAAATCATAGATTACAGGTGATTAAAAATTATATATATATATATATCTTTTATCAAAGACTCAAAATACATATTCATATCGATGCTACATAGAATCATCACAGAAGTGCCGCCACAGAATATACAAAGAATTGGACACTTACATTCAATACTTTCATACGGAAACAAAGCTCAAATTATGATCCTGCGAAATGGAAATATTGGCATGTATTAAAAGCACAGAATAGATCACAATTCATGTCTTTAAGCTATGTAAAATTAATTATTAATATCCTTAAAACAGTATTTTGCTTGCTAAATGGCAATTTGATGAACAATTACTCGACCAGCGGCTTTTAAGATGGACATTGGAAAACTTGATACAAGCTGATCATTGGCAGACTGCAATGTGGCTTTGGTTAGTTCAGCAATTCTTATCTGAATTTCAAAGATCGCGAACTTTAATGCGTTTATTAATTGAAACTATAATAAAGAAATTACAAGATGTAAGCATATTTCATATTCTTTATGAAATTTAACGTATTATTTTTTTACCTACTGACAGATATTTACAAATTATATTTAGATGAATCAAAATCAAGCTGTATCAAATAAACTTGGCTTAGTTATAAAGAAGATGAAAAATATGTTACTTGTACTCTAAACTTTATTTTTAATTTTCGTCAATTTCTTTTTTAATAATATTACTAATGCGCTTTATTTTATACAGGCTTTATTTCTAACTACACCCGATATGTTTGTATTTCCAGTATGTTGGAATACTTACAAAGAATTGCTGCGGTGTGTCCTACTTGAAGACAGTTCAACCGATACTCCTATATCAAAGGATTTAAAACGACAAAGGGAGCGCTATTACGAGATGGTCCGTTCAAGGAATGAGATGTTTGATGAAAAAAAGTTGAATCCACTTGGAATGGGGAATCTTCAAGAAGCGTTGCTTTATAGAATGATCAGTGTATGTGAGCTCTGTTACTTTATCCAGAATAGAAATTTATTTGGGTTATTAAATTTCTTTTTAAATATCCGCCAGATTTTAGATAAAGTAAATTGTCTTAACGACTATCATAGTATTACGAAAAAATATTTTCGTATGAATGGTAATTTCCTAATGGAAAGAGAAATTTCGACACTTATTTATACATTGTGTTATTGGGCTATAACATCTTTTCGGGAAGGAGATTTTCGAGTATATTCTGCAAGCACAATACTAGATATATGGAAAAATGAAGTTTCTGCTGAAGAAAAGTTGGAGCAGCGACAAAGTACCATTCAATCTTCCTTAGTTGAATTTTTGGATGTATACCCATTGGGAAAAAATGAATTAAAAGAGGAAGAAGGTACTTTACTTTTAATCTCTAATTTTAAAAAAAGGGTTGCTATACTAATTACCAGAGTAATTATTATTAAATTCAGAGTTAGAGATGTTATCTAGACTCTTTGGAGAACTTACAAGGAACGGACATTTTTCGTATCAAAGGTATTTGCAACGTTTAATTGCAAGAGGTGATGTCAGGCATGAGAAACGCAATACAGAGGTAGGTATTAATACCTATTATTGAATGAAATTTATATTCATCTATATCTAATTAATTAATATTTTAGAGATCTCTCCGTCATTTAAGATATGTGAAATGGTTCGCAATATATGAACCTGAACTTCATGATTTAAATCAACGATGGCATATTTTGTATGGTGTTAATATCAAGGTATGTTTGTTATACGTTACAATAAGAAATCTAAAATATGTTATTTATAGTTTTTTGTATGCAGGATACAACGGATGAAAGGGAATTTGATACTTTCGTTAATATAATATCTAAGAAGTTGCCTAATATGTTGTCACCAAAAGGTTTGTATTATATTTAATTATTTTAAATATCGATTTCTTAATTGGTACAATAATGTCCTTTTATTTTCTTATATGTTTTTTTTCGGTGATTTTATTAATAGCTAATGATTTTGATGCTCCGATGGTTGATGATCCTATATCAGATTTTACATATTCACTTAATTTTGATAATAAATCCCTTGATTTTATCAAGCATACGACAAAATTTTGCCAACTTCGTGTGATACAAGAATTTTTGACTCCATCAGTAAAACAATTTGTGCAAAATGCTCCGTGAGTATCAAATTTTTCAGAAAGGTGCATGTCAATTTTAAAAATTAAAAATAATATTATGTATTTCTGTATTTAGCATTGATGTTCATAACTGGAGGAATCCGACACAGCCCGGATCTTCTTTATTAAATGCACGTCAATTGGCTACAATAATTCAAGTCATTGAATTAACAAAAGATTATAGCTCTTTACTTGAGGTTAATATCGAATATGATCCTTGTAATTTATCTTAATAAGTAATTAACCATTATAACATTATTAAAAATTGTATGTAGCTCATAATATGGGTTCTTGAAAATTCTATGGAACGAAGTATTTTCCCATTGATTGTTGATACAATCAAGAGACATGAAAGAATTTGGGAGGCTATGAATAAATCCGATGTTGTTTTCGATGTACTAATGAAGAAAGTAATACATAAGATATATTTTTTTTTATTATATATTATATATATATATATATATATATTTATTTATTTATTTTTAAAAAAAAATTATTTATCCTTTAGAATGATCAATTGCGAGAAAAACGTAAAACCGAAATTTGCATTGTTAAATATTTATTAAATATAGTTCATGACGACAAAAAATTAAAGGTATATAAACTTCAATATATTTTTTTTTTTTAAAAAAAGAGACCAAAACTCATTATTATTATAAATAATAGTCTGAAATGGAAGAATATCCGAATATGGTAAAGTAATTTATAAATTTACATTTTTAAAATTTTTTTTTTTTTATATTAATAATTAAAGTAAATTTTTAGTCACAGTTATCTGAAGCTATTCGTCGTCATAAAAATCGGCTAGGTTCAGATATTGATCATTTATTGAATCAAACCGATGGATTTAAAATATCGAATGTTGATGAACGGTTGTTTGATTCAGAAACTGTTGATGGATATCTGTATCATATACTTATGGCTTGTACGGACGTTATCCATTTGCATGCACGGAATTATGCTGATTTGGTAGATGCCCGAAAACTCTTAGACATTTTTGGAGATTTGTTAAGAGATGTCGGAGATAGGGCAACAAATGGATTTGACACTGTATTCAAAAATTGGTTAAATATTAATATTAGGGCAGATGATGACGATAGCCTTTTAAGACAACATAGCACTTATAGGTTATTGATATTTTTCATAATCCTTGTTGTTCGTCATCTTGTTAAAATGGAAACTGTGCTTGAGTATCTAGTTGAAAAAAATCTATCTAGACTTTCAGATAAATTATTGAGCCAAAAGAAATTAGATCCAGATGGAATTGTTGAATGTCAAAATTTGGTAATTTTATTGAGGCTATTGTTGATGCATCATGAACATAGGGATTTAATTCCTTTAACAATAATGGTGAGTCATTTATTATACAATTTTAATTTATATATAAGATATTAATTATTTAATCACAATTTAGGAAATTCAAACACTTCAATCAATTTGCGAGTCATTTATTCACAATAAAGAATTTATAATTATCATTTCAAGCATCTTCCACAAGCTTGCTATTATTGAAAATTCAATAGAACCTGACAATGATCTTGTAATTGAATTACGCAACATTAGAATAGATTTTGCTCAGGTTTATTGGTTTAGACAATTATGTATAGCTAATGTTGATAACGTATATAATAATTTTGTCAAAGGTAATAAGAGATTGATTAATAATAAAGAAATTGAAAGACGAATGATCGATATCATACAATCAGGTCTTGGTAATCCTAATGGTAAGAAAATTTCATTATTATTTACTTATAAATGTAACATATAAACTCTTACATTTTTATTTTCAAATTTCAGACGGTATAAATGGTCATTCAATTTCATTCTGTTTTGCAAATTTACACAAGATCTTTTCCACGGTAAATTTATGGAATATTCAAAAGAGTCGTGTCGAATTTTATATGTGCATGGACAAAATATTATTATTATCAGATGCTTTTAGAAGTGGCTCTATACTTTCTCCAATTCTTCCTTATAACATAAAGGAATCGGATGATGATTCAATTATGGAAGGATCTGAAGAAGAGATGGATAAAATGAAAAGAGTAATTGAATACTTTTGGCAAAAATTAGTGTTGCAAGGAAATAAAGATTGTCTTGTAATAAGTCATATAATACAAGGTATCCGGGAGGATATAGCTTCAGAGGTTTGTTTTATTTGCTACTATATTCACTGAATGGATTATAATATGTTGTACTTATTTATTGATCATTCGAATACTTAGCTTATGGAACGCGGACTTGTAGTATTAGAAAGATGTGATGAGTTGATTGCAGGCATTGAGGAAGTGTTTCGAGCTTTATTACTTTCAATAGGGGACAATAAAAAGCTAGAATTCAGTAAGGCGTTATTATCTCAAGTACAAAGAATAAACGATGAAAATAAAAGTGATACTTACGTGTCCTGGTGTGTATCATTTTGCTATATTGAAAAAAGGAACTATTCGTGTATATTAAGAAGTTTTTTTCTGAAAAATTTTAATCTATTTTAGTGTTATGGCACGTATAAAACTGTTCGTTTTGGTGGCAAATGTATTAGCTGCCCGTGTTACAGCAGTTGTCACGTCCAATAAACCAGACTTGGCAAAATTACATCCTGAATATGACCTTATAATGAAATGGGTGATTTTATTAATCAATTTACTTTGTGACGAGCGAATTCATCAAAATGGTGGTGGGGCTAACAATTTTGACTTAGTCCTTGATATAGTGTCTTTTTTATTAGACGGTTTGTGTATATTTCGAATTTGTCACTTAATCTCTTAAAATTTTCTAGTGGCTGATGAATTCTTAATATAATTATTTAGAAATGGGAAAAAATGCTAGGGCAATCATAGTTGCAGAATTAAAAGTAGGTCATTTTCTAAATATATTATAAATTTAATTACACGTTTTATTGATATGATATTATTCATTTCATATAAACTCCATTTCATTTAAAATGATTAGCAAGTAAATTTCTTTAATTTTTTAAAAACAAAAATAAAATAAAATAAAGTAAAAAAACAAAAAAAAAAAAAATACAAAATGTATTTTACTAAATATAATTTGTTTTCTTTTACCAACCAACAGAGGTACCAGTTTAACGTACCAGCAATATGGAGTAATAGGATAAAACGTGTTCTTCCCCTAAAAATCCCTCAGGAAACGTTAGGTGAAAGAAAGCATCAACTTGATGCTTGGCAGTTAATTGAGGGGATTGGAGAAAATGATGATTTAAATAATTCTTCTATTGATTTATCTTGGTATGATGCTAAAGTTTATCCAAGGCCCAGTAAACGATTAAAGAGGATTGATGAATATGAAGATTATAATATTGATTTAAATAAGAAATATGAAGAAGAGGTAAATGGTTTTGAGACCAGCTTCTCTTCTCTTGAATTATAAATTGCAAAAGAAAAGAAGGAAAAAAAAATTTGTAATTATATAGGATAGGATATTTGTAGATTATAATATTTTAAATATGGAAAATATACAAAATTATTTAATAACTTATTTATTATAGATGTTAAAAGTAAATTACAAACAACAATTGTTATCTACATATCAAGTAAATAGAATTTGAATTTTGGTAGTAATGAATTAAAAGTTATTTATTTCGAGTCATGTCTAGCAATGGGATGTGCAAATTCAGATTTTGCCTTTTCTCTTAAAATTCTTCTTAAAATTTTACCAGATGCACTTTTTGGTATTTGATCAATATAAATTATACCGCCTCTTAATTTTTTATGAGGAGCAACTTGATCGTCAACAAATTTTTTAATTTCTTCAGATAATTCACTAGTTTGTTGGACATTTTGTTGAGTTACGACGTAAGCAACCGGGTATTCGGTTTCATCTTGTGCAGAATATACACCAATTACAGCGGCATCAGATATTAATTGATGTGATAATAAAATTGCTTCTAATTCTGCTGGTGCAATTTGAAACCCCTATAAAATTTTTTTATTTATATTTTTATTTTATTTTTATTTTAAGAGTGAGTAGGCATTAGAATGAATTCTTATATTTTACCTTATATTTAATTAATTCTTTGACGCGATCAACGATATAAAAATTTCCTATTAATGATATAAATAAATGAAATATAGAAATTGAAATATTTATTATAATAGATATCAATTATAATAATAATTTACCATTGTCGTCAACTAAACTGACATCTCCTGTGTGAAAATATCCATCTTTATCAATAACAGCATCAGTTGCCTCTTTATTATTTAAATATCCCTTCATAACGTTTGGTCCACGAACGCAGAGTTCACCTGGCGTATTATATCCTACTTCTATAAATATTGAAAAAATATTATGCATAAAATAAATAAAATAAAGGTCAAACTTTTTTTTTTTACCTTGACCATCTTCAGATATCAATTTACATTCCATATTTGGAACAAGAATACCACAAGAGCCTTGAACGATATCGTTAGTAAGACTTAAATTAATTACAGGAGTAGTTTCAGTTAAACCATACCCTTGCTTAATTTTAATCTTATGAACGTTATAAAAACTTTCACTTAATTCTTTACTTAATGGGGCTGCGCCACTAATGATTATTTGTAAACTTGATAAATTATATTTCTTTGTTATAGGACTTTTAACTAATAAGAGTACGATTGGAGGAACAATATGAGCTGTTGAAACCTTGTAATTTTCGATTATACGACAAAATATTTCAAATTCAAACTTGGGAAGAACTACACAAGAAGCTCCCTAACACAAATATAAAAATGCAATGAGTGTTTAAGATTATAAAATTTTGGAAGTAGAAAAAATTTTTTTTAAACTGAGCTTACAAGAACGAGAACATAATGCATGAGAAGATTCATTCCGTAAATATGAAAGAATGGCTGGAGAGATAAAAAAAAAAGATGAAACTACGTAAATTTCAAAAAAAAAAAAAAAAAAAAAAATTCTTTCTACGCACCAGAACACCCATATAAATAATTCCAGGGTGAGCTTCTTGTTCAATAGCCAAAATTTGCAACACATTGGCAACCATATTAAAATGAGTAGTTTCAACACCTTTTTGCTTTCCAGAAGTGCCCGAACTATAGCATAGAAGAGCTGTTGTTTCTTTAACTTCTTGAGGTGTATATTCTACGGGAATAGCTTCGCGTTCGCCAAATAAACTATTATAAGGTAAAATTTCATTAACTTCTTCATCTCCAAAAAGAAATATTTTCGATTCAGGGATATTAACAGCTGCAGCTGCTTTTATAACAACATGAAGAAAGTGTGGGTGAGCTACTATTACGGATGCTTCACAATCTTTTAATTGAAAAGCAAATTCTTCGGCAGTAGAGGTTGGATTGGACGGTGAAACTTTACCACCTATATTATAAATTATTATAACATTTGATATAAAAAAAGGAGTGAAAGTGAATCACTAACTCTGTACTTACCAGCAGCGATTGTACCAAAGATAACGGTCGCATAATCAACCTATAAAATCAATTCATTAAAAAAAAAAAAAATAAAAATACAAAATTTTTTTTTTTCAATTGATTTCGTACCTGATTTGGAGAAAAAATGGATAAAACATCATCACGTTTAAAACCAACTTTATCTTGTAACCCAGCAGCTAATTTTTTTGCATTTGATTTTAGTTCAGCAAAAGTTAATTTTTTGTCAGTTAAACCATCAATAAAAATGGGTTTGTCTTCAGAAACTTTATTTGGATTTGAAAAAACGAATTGAAAAATTCCAACCGAAGGGATTTCAATATCTGGAAATTTCGATTTAAATATAACCATAATATTAATAATCAGAATTATAAAAATTAAAATTCAAAATAAAAAATAAAAATAAAAAGGGAGAAATTTTGCTTTTGTTAGATGAGATTGAGAAAATCCAAAACTCACGTGATATATTAATTTCTACCCGTTTGGCATAAGCATAATGGACATTTAACTTTCGAGCGATTTTATTGGTTGAAATTTGTGATAATCATTTTTGAAATATCACATTTAGTT